AGAGAGGCGCAGAGATTGTTACATCCCCCCAAGGCCCCGGATAATGTAGGTCAAGAACCCAAATCTAGTTCCTGTTCCAGAGCCCAACACATCCTACCAAACTGCCTAACACCAAGGACAAGGGCATGAAGAAAAGTACTTTACAGGTGGCTCCCCTGGTCACATATGTCCATTCCCAGCCCTGGAACTCTCCACTGACAGAATCACCCAGCCAGTATCAGAATCTTAAAGCCCTCTCTTTCTACTTGACACGTATATTACCTATCATTATCCGATAAGGAAGATCAGGAACACTAGTGTCAATGAAGGAACAGCCTTATGGGATATGAGCTCAACTCTGCCCACACAATTCCTCTCTGATTAGGCTGCCTCCCCCATACACATTAGGATGTGTACTTTGAAAAGTTGAGAACACGACTTGAATCAACTGCTTGTTCCAGGCTACCATGGCAACAAGTGTTCATCTCAGCAGCTGCTCCAGGCAAGTTTAGTTTTCTACCCTGGAAGTTCTGCTTTAGCATTTGCGGAAAGCCTGTCACAGAACCAAGTCATGCTGAAGAGCAGCTTTAAGGCTCAAGTGGCCTTGATTCCTTTACAAATGGACAAACTTGCCGATGTGAGGCTCTAGTTCTGTGATCAGAGATCTATAACTTCTGCCCTGGACAAACTATTATGGGTTTAATATGCTTTCAGTGACATGAGAATTTTGGGCAAAGTATTTTTCAATCTATGCGTTACAATTTAATTTGTGGGTGAGTCATAAGACGGTGTACTGGTTTCCCATTATTGTTGTGACAAACACAAATTTAGTGATATAAAACACAAGTTATCTTACAAGTCTGGAGGTCAGAAGTCCAAAATGGAACAGTAGAGCTGTGGACCTCATGAAATCTCCAGAGGAGATCAGTTTCCTTGTTTGTTCCTCTATTAGAGACAGACTGTGGTCCCTGGTCTGTAGCCTTGCATCATTCAAAATTCTGCTTCCACTGATACATCTCTAAGTCCAACCATCCTATCTCTGATTTACAGTGATCTTGCAATTGGGCCTACATGAATAATTTCACAGTGTCAAGATCCAGTTCACATCTGCAAGGCCCATGCTGCTATGGAAAATAATATTGACGGGTTCTAGGGATTAAGATATGAACACAGAATGAGCTGTCATTTTTCAGTCTACTGGTCAGGGAGTCACTTAAATGGACAACTTTTTTTCTGCACTGGGGATTGAATCCAAGACCCATGCATGCTAGCCCATCTTTTTTTTTAAAAAAATGCCATTAGAAGAACACATAAAGCTTATTTTTGGTTCTAATGTACAGTGAATGAGTGACATAACACTGTAAAATCACATACAAAGAAGTATGAATTCAAGATCATCTGTCTTGTCATTATACTCTTATAGATCAAGGTCCAAAGAATACCTTGATGAGACTACTGGAGATTTTGATCCCTATTACTCTAAGAATTTAAAGGCTTTCATACAACGTAAGTATAGGTATTTCTTTCCTGATGCCAGGACTGAATTCTATACATGTATGAAAAGATGCAGGAAAAAAAAAGATGCTTAAAGGCAAAAGAATCCATTATAAAGTTAAAGATCTACTGTGTTTCACAAGATATCACCACATAGTCCTAAATAGTCTGTCCTTGACTTGAACATTAGATTTTGAAAACTCCAGTAAGATGAAAAATCGTAGCCAAGAGTTGAAAATTCAAATATTAGAAACTTGCATTTCTATTTTTGCTTCCCCCTACATAGAGAATTTTAAATCATGCTCTCCATGTAAAAACTCTGGTTTACATCCAGCTTTTTCTGGCTGAAGGATACAAGTGAACTTATTTCTTTTATTTTAAAGAGAATGAAACAAAACAAAACAAACCAGAGCAGAACAATGTAAGCAACACAAGACTTCAAAACAGGACAACAAGAAATCAACAATGGCTACAATAATGTAAATAGTCTGGGGTTTTTTGCTTTTTATTTTATTTTATTTTTTTTTTTTTGGTGCTGGCGATCAAACTCATGACCTCACGCTTGCCAGGCAGGTACTTATGCCACTGAGCTAAATCTCCAGTTGTAATCTTATGTCATTTATGCTAATACCCTGCACTCTTATTTTTCTTTGTGTTGTCTTGCAGCCTTTGCATTGTTACTTCCTGGTTCCTTGTTATTTTTAAGAGATCTTTCTTTTTGCAATGGCAAGCTTCAAACCTGTCTTCAAGGTCTGAAAGTCTATCTTCAGTCTCTTTCAAGTAGTTTTGCCAGTTTTTGATGGAGTTTCTAATTTCCTGACTATCTCTTTGAATCTGTTTCATGCATTGTGATTCCTTCCTATATTGTTCCTTTAAGGTTTCCATCATTTTATTATGCTCTTTTTAAAAATTTATGTCATCTTTAGATATGCTGAGCAATTATTTCATTATGTTTGTGATTTTTTTAACCTGAGATATTTCTGATCTGATTACTTTTATGGTCTCATGAAGTTGTTTCTTTACATCAGTTACTTTCCTCTCAGAGATGTCAGGTGTGTTACTTCCATTTTCTTCCATGACTATATCTCGCAGAGTTGTTCTGTGTGGACTGGAGTCTGAGATTGCCTTTTGCTCCTTCATCTTGACATTTTCCTGTGTTCCTAACAAGCTGGTTATAGTGTCCCAGGCACTTCCCTGTTGGGCTGCCTCTCTGTGGTGTAGGGGAATGGCACGGGCACCTGATTTCTCTGACCTGAGGTTCCCAGGGAGGTAGCAGGGCATGGCGGGGGCTTCTCCAGTCCCGTGCAGCTACCCCGGGCTTCACCGCTATCCAGAGGAGTGTGGTGGTGGAGCTACTTCGTCTCTCAGCCTGCATGTCTGCACCAGGACTTCCCCGATGGTGGCAGGCACACAGTGTTTGCCTGATTCTCCCCTGGGTGCTGGCTGCCAGAAGGAAGTGAGGGTCTCCAATGGTGGCCTGTGGGTGTACGGGGCATATCTGGCTGTATCTGCCTGCTCACATTGGCCACCCACAGGAAGCAAGCCTTCTGATAGCAGTGACCAGCAAGAAGAGCTGAATCTGGCTAGATCCCCCTGCCTGGACTGGCTGCCCGCAGGCAAGTGAACTTATTTCTATATTAGAGAGATATTTTGAAGATAGTCTGAGAGCTCCCATGTTGAGTCATACTGATGATTTAATTGCAGACCAAGAGATTAGGAGCCCCTTAGGGAGAAGCCTCAATGGCTGGTAAAGGATCAAGCATATATAATGGAAAAACAGTCTTAATGCCAGGATTGTTATTTTTTTCAAATCCATTTGTTTCAAAGAGAAAAAAAAATAATTTCAAAACAAAAACAGGGGACAATAATGGTGTAGACACTGCACACTGCAGGATTGTTATTCTTGAACCTAAGGAAGAAAGGAACCACTTAATACAGTATTCCTTCCCACAGGAAGAGACTGCTGGTCTTTTGACTGGGACTAAAAGGGACATGCAACTGATTTTAAATTCTTTAGGAAGTTGTCTATTTGAGACATTTGAGTTAGCAAATCCTTTGAAGCAATATGCTAGATCCCTTTCTTGGGGACATGTGGTTTTTCTTAGGAAGGAAAGTTCTGCAAAAGATTAAAGGTGGTGCTAGGTTTTGGATCAGTAACCCATAAAAAGCCATGTGTTTAATGTCGGCTCCCTATGCTGGTGGTGTTGAGAGGTGCTGTGGACTTTTAAGGAGGTTCTTGGGTCATTGGAGGTATGACCCTAAAGTGGACCGTGGAATCCTATTCCTGTCCCCTGCTTCTTGCCTCTGGACATGACCACTCTGACTTCCACTATTCTGCATCATCAACTCAGGCCCGAACCAGTGGGACTACCTATTGGTTGACTTGAATCTACAGAAGTATGAGGGGAGGACCTGCAATCACTTTGTTACTTTGTAAGTACCTCCTGCTAGGTGTTTTATAAAGTGACAGAAATCTAATACCAGTGGCTTCCTGGCCCCCTATCTTTCCTGTGAGTTGAAAAGATAAAAAGTTAGACTCACTTAAGTGTACTCCCACAGACAGTCAACAATGAGGTTTATCTATATAGCCTATGAGTACCAGAGGGTTCAAGTTTAGGAGCAAAGAATCACTCTGGTATGAGAAACCAAATGTATTAAGGACCAAAATGTATAACAGATGTTCTGAAATAGGAAGAAAATGTTCAAAGGGGAAGGGGAACAAGGGAGGAGTGAAAGGGAAGAGAAGGAATGGAAAAGAAAAAAAAAATGAAGTTTTTGTAAATAAGGGGCAGAGAGATTGAAGGAAAGGAAGGGGAATGGGGGGAAAAAGAATCAAGATATATCATGTACAGGTACAAATTCTCTATGATGAATGTTATTGTATAAGCTAAACCCAAAATGTGCTGTACTTATAACTTGTTCTCTTCCTGTAACACTTGTGTAATTGCCAGTTAAGTTGCAACCTTGTAACATACCCACCATGTAAACCCCTCCCTACCTCCCTGGTTCCTTTTATGAGGACAAACTGATCTTAAGACCCTTTTATAACTCCCTGCAGCCCCTGGCTCGGTGGCACACTTCCGGATGCTTTTCTGGGACAGTGTTACCGCTGAACTCACCTAATAAAGCTCTTCTTTAATTTTTTGGAGTCCATCATTTTTCTGCCCATATCAATCATTATGTATACCTAAGTTGTACCAATAGAAGTGTTTTAAGATGTAGTTATAAGACTATAAATTGTAATTATTCTTCAAGTTAAAAGCACACTTTTGCAGTCTCAATGGGCTTAATAAAAATAGAACAAAGTAGAAAGAGGGACATCATAAAATATTAAGAATATTTTAAAAGGAGTAAAAAGGTTAGAGGCCCATTTAAAATCTCCCTCTTTATGTCCACATTGACCAAAGCACGCCCAGAGGAGTGAGCCTAGGTATTATGTCCAGTTTACAAAATAATTACAGAAAGAAACAACCTTCAAAGCTATCTAGTCTTAAAAAGACAGAAGGCAAGAAGTTCACTTCAACTTTATTTGCAAATTCAATTTAGCAATTTAAGGTTGCAGTTCTTTTCTTACGCAGGTAATAGATAAATCCTAGAGTTACCACCAAGCCCACTAAGGCAGCCCCACCAGCCACTGCTTTTGAAGTAACATCTCCAGCAATCCCGGACCCTTTGGTGTCTACGACATCTGGAAAGGAAGCAGACATTCAAATTAAGGTCAGGTTGAAAAATTACATTGAAGCCTTATGTACTAAAGATTCCCCAGAGAATTATAAAAAATTATAAATTAAAGCTCAGCTTCAATAAACTGCTTTGGGAATTTTATAACAGGGTCTATGTCCTTATTCTGTAAACTAGCCTCCTCCTCTCCTGGTCCACATCCACTTTTCTCTGCCATTCCCACTTGCTTTTTCCAGCCTCAAGTCAGATAGACTGACACATGGAAAGGCCTTAGAATTCCCACCTATTTAATAGTGCATCTGATGCTAACAGATGTTGTTAACCATCCTCCCAGGGTGTGATCTCACATGTTAGGGATATAAAACTGCTTCATTTCACATTCTGGGCCAAAAAGTTAAGATAATTTTGGTAAGAATGTGGGAGAATAACAGCAACATAATATAAAATAGACTTGTGTAAGAGCAGCAAGTCTTTTGGCCTATCAATCCCACTAGAAATATATCCTGAATGTGTGCAGTAGGCAACATCCTCTTAGAGGATGGCATTAAGGACTCAGTGTGACAGTAACTATTGAAGTGGAAATCACCTAGATATCCAGGAATGCAGAACATGACTAAGGCACAGCCATGTGCAACCCTACATGGCCGAAACGGTGAGGTAGATAAAAGATAGCTAAGACAAGTAGTAACAGATCAATAGGTAGAACACATGATCCTAATTGAGTCTTTTGTATCTTCTTTCAGAAATCTTCAACAGAAGCCTCTCTGGAAAGGAAGACTGTTATTCTCTCGTTTAATTTATTATAAACATGTATTATACATAAATATTAAGCTTTGGAGATAACTCCAGGAAGTAACCTAGGCTTTAACTCAGTTACCTCTAAACGAAGAGTCATCTGAAAACAGGAGAATGGGTCCTGGGAGGCTGACTGTCATTTTGTCCCCTTCAGTGGCCTCTGTGGCTAGAGACAGATAAACATTGTGTTTGACCTTTTATTGTAAAATCAGGATGAATTGTTTGCGAAGTCCACAGAGCTGGCCAAGAACCCACCCAACTGACTCACTGGTAAAAGCAGACTGGCTAAGGAAAGTTTTCTTAGGTTCTGAGGACTAACAGAGTCATACTCATCCTTAAAACCTTCAATTGTGAAAGAATGAAGCTTTGTCTAAGTAAAAATCCCAGTAGCTGTGGTTGGGGGCTTTTACCTCTTCTGTGCCTAGATGAGGCAGGGCAGGTCACAGAACACAGAGGGGAGTCGGGAGAGAGCTGATTGCAGACTAAAGCTCTGCAGTGGAAATAGACCTGGAGACAGAAGAAAATTAGGTTGAACCAAAGCACTCACATTTAAACTGCCTCAAGTAGCTTCTTGATCACTTACCAGGGTAGAGAGTGCCTGATCCTCTGATACAAAGGCAAAGGTCTTCACGTCAAACCTCTGATAGTGTTGAGGATGGGTCACGGAGGAGCCAGCTGGATGGAAAGTGGTTTGGTAGTTATCCAGGTCGTATTCACAGCTAGGAAGTAAGCACCAGGGAAAGACATTAGTCACATGTACCCCTAACATGCATGTCTGTCCAAATTGAGTTATCTGGAGCTGAGGATTTAGTTCAGTGGCATAAGTGTCTGCCTGGCAAGCATGAGGTCATGAGTTTGATCCCCAGTACTGCAAAAAGAAAAAAAGAGTTATGTGCAACACCTTCAGGAGTACAGCCATGTCTACCTTCTATCAGCATCTTTTACTTTTAAGACCCAATCAATCTAATGCTACTCAGGAAACCATGAGTTGTACATGACAGTTGCATTCTTTTCTACTGTGCATTAAAATAAATACTTGTATGTTCATCAAGTATAGGTTTTATGTGTATCACTTTAGAAGACACTGGCTTTTGGAGTGCCTGACTGTATGAGTGCCTAGGAGTATATATTAGTGATGAGTAGAAAATCTCTGCTATCTTATGTTTTACATATTAGGAAGGTGAGGTCAGGGATTTAGCTCAGTGGCACAAGTGCCTGCTTGGCAAGTGCGAGGTTCTGAGTTTGATCTCCAGTACCAAAAAACATTAGGAGAGTAGGAGAGAACTTAAAGGACATAATATAGTAGGTGATAAATATTAAGGGAAAAGACCAAGGGAAAGGATAAGGAGGTTGAGGGTAGGCCTCTTTGGAGAAGGATTATTCAAATCAAGTCTTCCATGAGGTAAAGGAATGAGCTGCATAAATACACTGGCTGAGACAGGTGTGTATGTGGGGATTAAAAGCACAGCAACAGACTCTCCCACAGCACCAAGAAAGCTAAGATGCAGTTTGTCACAGGTGCATAGCCCTGGATAGGACCCTGCCTGTGGAACTGAGAGGACAAAGTCTATGCAGACATGCCTTTGCAAACTCCCGACATTATTGTGCCCAGTTCTTCTATCAAGTGAAAATTCTAGCCCCAGCTCTACTGCTTACCAAGTATTGCTTTAGGCTAGTTATTAGAGTGGCTAACTTGAGTTTCTTCATGAAATAAAGAGGAATGAAATAATGTCTCCACTGCAGGGTGAGGAGGCTCAGATGATGCATATGTAATATACAATGCCTGGCAAATAGTGTATGTTCAGTCAATAGATGAGGGGTAGAACTCCCATTTCTCTTGACAGAGTATTACAGTCAGACTCCTCTGCTGGAGGATCCCATTCTGTAGAAGTCCAGGGTAATAAGAAAGCACATGAACCACCATTATTCTGAGGACTGATGACTAAAACAAGGACTAAAGCCAGCCATTGGTAAACAAAGGTTCCCCTAAAACCCAAGAAGGGGTATTTTTCATCACAGGCAAATCCTGATGGATCAGCGGAAGCAGCCTTCTGGAGAGTACCTACCCATCCACGATAATATTCCACTGAGGGAGAGAAGCTGGGTCCATAGTGGATGTTGCCCAGCAGTCATCCAACACCAGCTTTATGTTGGGGTCATTCCTGTTGAGGACTCTAATTTCCATGTAAATTGGTTGGCGGAGGTATCTCACTATCGGGTACTCACTGTCTTTATAAGGTTGTTGGTAGGACTTATCTGAAATGAAACAGAAATCTCAGTATTCAAGTTAGGCGAGTTACAACATTATCTTCAGCATCAATACTGTTCCATTAGTCTGCCTGCATCAGAAAGTTCATTTTAGGGAAAGTCTCCCAAAGTATTTAAGCAAGTATCTTAAGCAACAATGCCTCACCTGGGTAGGTTTGCAAGATCAACATAAGTGGACCTGGTTTCACAGAGGCAACTGGAGGCGGAAGACTTTTGATGTTGGCATTTAGAAGCATGTTACCTCTTTTGTAATAGCACTTCACTGTCATTCTGCAAGAATGTGTAGGGGTGATAAAAAGTTTATGTTATCAGAGTTCTTGAATTTAAACTACAGTTAAAAAAAAAAAAACAAATAGCAACTGTAATCACACCTGAATTCACTATCTCTGGATATTTTGCTTGGAGGAAGATCTTTCCAAAGAGCATGAATTTCATTTTCATAGATAACTTTATCATCTTCAAACTTAAATGTTAGAGCAAGTGGGTTAATAGTTAATTCAAAGGCAAGTCTTGCCTTCCTATCATCTGCTAGTACTAACCTTACGCTTTGTCCCACATCCATTCAGGGGTATGTGAAACCGTATCAACTCCTCAGACTGAGCTGTGAAGATAGGCTGGCAGGATGAGCTCCCCACTCTGAGGGTACCCAAATTGAGAGCTGGCTTTGTTTGGTGGCTGTGGACCTCAAAGTCCATAAACCCATCTTGGGTACATAGCTCTTCGGTAACTAGAGAGAAGTGAAGGTTTGGAGAAAATGGGTTAAATAGAACGGACATTTTTCAGAGCACTTAAAACAGGACAAGAAAGTGATTCCTATCCCATCCAACCCTGGGTTATGAGAAAATCGTAAGTCATCAAGAGGTACCCAGATTTGTCCTAAATTTGCTTGGGGAAAACATCTGGATAAGCAAATTGAGTTACAAGTGAGCTTAAACACACTGTAAGGCAAGGAAAGGCCAGGAGACATGGAAAGAAGGGTCAGACAGGGTAAGATCACCGAGACAAGCCATGATGAGAAGCTCTGGTGACAAAGACTTACAATGGTTTTAAGAACAGTGCCTTATGTCTCTTAATATAAATTGAGTACTGACATGATCTTCAAAGTTTATTTTGGAGCATTTAAGATTTTTATATTATGGATATTCAACTGGTAATATGTAAATATTTCTGAAATCTGAAACTTTTGGTCCCAAGCATTTTGGATAATATCAATCTGAACTAACAAATCCTAAGTGGCTTGGGGGAAATAGAGGCAGGGATTGATTAACTTTTGTTATTTGAATTAACATGATATAAATGAGTGTAAACAGAAGCACAGAGGCAATGCTGAATGAGAGGAAATATCCACTCAGCAGTCCTTTTATAGTCTTTGTAGGTGTTTAAATGAAAAAGCTTTAAAACTTTTATATTCCCCTCTAAGGTGGTGAGCCCAAGTCTCTACCCCAGAATATCCGGATGAATTAACTATAGGACAGATAGCCTGAGATCTAGTTACATGAGGGCTTTAGAAACATACTTGGGGCCCCAGCAGAGCAGCCAGACTATCTGACTGGTCTTTAGTTTCTTCAAGTCAAGCCAGAATCAAAAGCCGAACTTTTGTAGATTTTCCCACTGTAAGAAAAAACAATACTTTACCTACAGAAACTGGTGACTCACAGAGACACTCGGGATCAATCACCAAGAATACTGTATCTAGTTGAAAGTAAAAGGTCAGCTTGAGTGAAGATAAGTAGAACTGATAGAGTAGGCACTTTTCAGAGAACTGAAATGAGAAAAGAATGTCAGTTCGTGGTCACAGCCTGTCTGGGGCCCAGAGCAGTCACAGGAGACAGGAAGAAAGTCCATTAAACACTTGCAGGGCATCCTCTAGACTATCTGGTTCCCTACTGAGCCAGGAAGAGAAACCCTATCACTTCCTCAAATCAGGATACTTTCCCAGGCAGGAAATGTATTCCTTTAAACTCATGCTCTGAAGTAGCCAGGGTTGTAAGTTCTTTGTCCTAGGCACTAAAGCTTTAATTAACAGATCAAATTCCAAAGAATGAAACTGCCAAGCTAAGTCTGAGTCAGAGACTATAGATGGTATAAAATACAAATACAAAACATACACCCTGACCTAACATTACTCTGGTGTCCATGGTAATTGCATCAGTCAAACTGGACTCAAAGAGGACCTGTTCTTAAAATAACAGATTTATCATTAAATGCTTAACAGGTAGTTGGTACTTGTCAAATGAACTGAACAAAAATTCTATTGCCAAAGTTAAAAAAGACTTCTTTGGTGTTAGAGAAAACCTGAGTTACTTGAAAATTCATTTATGCAAGCTGATCAAAAGAGGCTTTCTAAAGCTGGACCAAGATTATAATTTAAATCAGGCTTCCCGAGGTTCAGGGGTTGACAGGATCGTACTCTGGTTTTGAGAAGAGTTTTGCTGAAGTGTAGTCTCAAGCCATTTGTTGTTTCTATACCGATCCCGTTGTCTCGCAGCTGACTCATAGGGATGTTCCTGTTTTCAATGCTCACAGCTGTCAGCTTCCCAGGAAATTCTGGTATGCCAAGAGTCATATGAGTGGCATTGCACAACACAGACAGATCTGGAAGGGATGATTGACAGAATGCCCATTACCAGCCTTGATTAAAACCCCTAGAAAAATGTTCTCCTTTTGCAATTGTAGCTCCCCTGTGGTCTTACCTGCTGCACAAATAGCTTGTGAGGAGAAGATGATCTTCTGCCCAGGAGACACAAATGAAAACTTCAGAAGCGCCGTGTAGAGATGACTGTTACCTTGCTGGAGGGACAGTGTTTTTGCAGACAGTTGGTTGCTTACATCTCTTAACAATAAGAATTATCACGGCAAGCATACACACACACACACACACACACACACACACACACACACACACACACACTCACGCACTGTGTACTGTGTGGGTACCAGTGGTATGAAGACATTTTGGCCAGTGAGTGTTCAGAAGGTAATCTGGTCCTAATCTTGTCCTCTAATGTCTGGAATCCATTGTCATCTATAGGTGTGACCTGTAGCTGATTACTTGTAGGCAGAGAAGAGAAAGGGTCGGCCTTCATGACTATAGAATATCAGCAGTGAAAAATGCTATAGAATATTAGCAGCCTGCTTATGCTTAATGTGAAACAGGACTGTTCTTAAAATGGCTGACACTTGACACGTCTGTGCCAGGACCTATGCAAATACAGTCATTTCATTTATAATAGGAATAGTCGCAAACGTCAGACAATTTTGTCATTATGTGATCGTGGAGGACTTGCACAAACCTAAGTTGTATAGCCTACTACCTAGCTAAGATACATGACTGTGCTATACTTTTCATACAACTGGCAGTTCAGTAGACTTATTTACATCAATATCACTACTAACACGTGCGTGATATATTGTTACTATACATGTTACTATAGCTACAGCATAAATAGGCTTAAGAATTACACTCCATTGTAATTTATGTAAGCCACCATTGACCCAAACTTTGTTATGCAGCGCATAACTGTATTTAAACACATTAAGATATTTAATCTAGTGTTTCACTTTGGCACAGAACCTACTACAAAACAAGGCAATGTAACCCAAACATAACACCTGAAATTCATAAGATTTTTAGGAGTGTTCTTTCTTCTAGTTGTCATAGATACAAGTATATAGGAAAGGGGGAGAAGAGATTGAGATAAGGAACATATCTGTTTTGTTTACTGTTACATCTTTAATACCCAGTGAGGTACTTGGCACATAGGAGACATTAAAGTACTTGTTGAATGAGTTGTGTTGTCACTTAACTTGAAGACACCATTTATATAATGCTTAGACTTAGGAATACTTGTTTGTGACCATCTTTTGGTACCAGTAAGGCACACCTACCACATAGTGAGTTACTCCAGTGGCATTCAGGGGCACATGAAGGGTCATCTTTTGGCTGTCAATCAGGAGATTAAATCCTTCTCTTAGGGCTTCCTGCAGGGTCAGACTGTGTGCACTTGAAACATCACCAACTTCAATGATCCATCCTCTACTGGATTTGTTTGTCTAAAAAAAAAAATTTGTTTAAAGGACTGGTGCTCAGTCATTCAGGAGACTAATAATCCAGTGTTTTCAGATTAAAGTTTAAATGTCAGCTTTAACAGATTTCAGTGTTAGTAAGGCTGGTCATCTAAAGATTACTTTCATACCTCAGCATCATCGGCCATGCCACGAAGAACTTGTGGAAAGGAAAACTGGAAGAAAAAAAAAAAAAAAAAATCACATGAAGCTCTGATTTGGAGGAAAGAGTGTCTGAAATCATGCCACCTCTCAGTATGCAGAAAACTCCCAGTGAAATTGCTATGTTGTTTTTATACCAAGAATCCCAATTATGGGATGCAGTAGGCAAAACATCAGGCCTGTCATGAAATTCCATCTAACGGCATAACTAAGTTTCATCTCTTTGAGCTTCAGATACCAAAAGGTAACTGGAAGATCAAATTCCCTTCCAGGAGGTTAAGTTGAGACACTGGATTGCTCAATGTGCAGCCTCTTCCTGTGTCTATAGAAATGCACTTACATTGTCAGATTACAAGTGTTACTATTGGTTGTCTAGCATCAATGTTAGCCATAGTAAACTATGAACTTTTTGGAAATGTGATTGGGCTGTTTTGCTCATTTACAGTATTTATCATTTGAGACAGGGCCTGAAGCATGTCTGGTACTCAAATTGTTAAGTGATTATTAATACAATTGCCAATTCCACTTGAACCCTTTCCATTACTAGAAATTGTAAAGGCTGGGCCAGTTCTGAGGACACCCTATCAGGTGAATATTATTTTTCCATTTTGGACTTGGAAATGAAGCCTCAGTGTGGCTAGGAAAAAAAAGTCATAGTCACAGAGCAACATAGTGTTGAACTCCTGTCTGATTTCTAAGTCCACGTGGTTTTTTTTTTTTTTTTTTTTTTTGTCTTTTTGCTTTTTATTGGTACCAGGGATAGAACTCACGACTGCCTGCTTGCAAGGCAGGTGCTTATGCCGCTGAGCTAAATCCCCAGCCCCAGTCCACGTGTTCTTAGAACATTCTATTTTTCTTTCCTTTTGCCATGAGCAGTCTGATTTACTTACAGAAATGAAGTCTTTCATACAGACTGTGGATTCTGAAAGCTCGTGTAATTCTACTTGCACAGCCGGGCAGAAAAACTGGTGTATGGCATCCCCAGATCTTGAAGCAGCACTGTTATCCATGACTCTGATGTTCATCTGGTGCCCACCAGTCTATGTGAAAACAGCACAGAAGTAACAGAATTAAACGCTGGTACTTTGGTGGGAAAGGGAACTCCACAATCATGTCTGACCCCACACAGTGGCAAAACCTTTGAACTTATCAATACTGTGAGTTCTAATTTCTATGCCAGGAGACTAACGAGCTTTTTGAGATAGCCTGGTAAATAAATATTCATTGTCATAACAGTTTGACAATTCAAGATTAGAGAATTAATAGTTTTTTGTACTCCTCTTTTTCTTTTTATATTTATCCTATGTCTGAGTATTGTAGTCCTGAATGAATGGAAATGGTTATGGGGGTTTTACCCAGGTTATTCAAATTCACTCATTGAGCACCTAAGTAGTCACCATTGTGCCAGGCACTGCTATCTTTGAGGCTAACTTGACCTCAATGAAATTAGTCCAAAGCAGAGGTTCACTAACCTTCTATTGAACGTAACTGTTTTAGACTCTGAACCAAATCCATAGAATTTAAATATATTCTTAGAAGAATCATCCTTAGGTCAATGGCCTTTTTAAAAAGTTTATTGGATATATTTGGCCACACATAGGCTGCAATTTGCAGACCCTTGGTCCTTTGAAGCTGGGAAGAGGGGAAAGTGTAATACCTAAGTATTTTCACAACAGGCAGTGATTATTTCATCAGGCATTCACAAAGGGCCTAACAGACCACACCACGTACAGTGCAAGCCTGTTTCCAGAGGAGGGTCTAAAAGTTATCTGCACAGAACTTAAATTCTATACTACATGGGATACTTTTATCAGGATCAGATGATGTGACCTATTAAACTTGAAGATTACCAGAACTCACCTCAGACCTGCATCAGCTAAAGTCAATTAAATCCCTACCTTCCAAACTCCCCAGGTGATTCTTTGTATTCTAAAGCTTGAAAAATTTTGATTTTGGTTTTTTGACACGATCTCACTATGTAGTCTTAAACTCACTATAGAGACAAAGCTAGCCTCAAATTTGTCAGGCCTCCTGCCCTCAGCCTCCCAAAGGCATCACACCTGGCTAAGCGTGAGAACTGTGTGACAGTTTGCCTTTATTACTCCTAACAGCTTTGATTGGGCAACACTGTTTCTTGGCAATAGAGAAACCCTTATGATATAGCTACCAGTTACTTTCTAACACCTGCTTTTAGGCTACAGGTTCTCTATTTGCTAGCATCAAAATACCTTTCCATCTATTTTTAAAATCTAAGTTCCACAGTCTTCATCTGTACCGTGTAATTAATCTTTAAACTTTAGAGAGGGTACCACTGTTGCTATTTTCCAGCAGGCAGAGAGAAGCTTAGGAAGGTTAGGTAAACTTCTTAGAGGTCACACCTACATGGCACCAGGGCTAGAGCTCAAGAACACAATCACTCAAACCCAGGGCTTCTCAACATTACCAGTTCAGGCCTGATCACTGTTAATGTGGGACTTCCTGGGTAATACAGGATCTGAGCAACCTCCTTGGCTTGTACCCCTTAGTTGTCAGTAGCTGCCTCCACCCCACTTCCAGTTAGGATAACCAGAAATATATCCCATATTTTCAGTTGTCCTCCAAGCAAGTTAACAGTCAGCATATGCACACACACACACACACACACACACACACACACACACACACAGTTTGGGAATCACTGCTCTGTTTCAAAACCTAAATCCTTAGCCACGAAGTTTACTACAGTAGTTACGGACTTATTACTCCTCAATTCCATCCTCAAAAGCAATTACTTACCACTCTCCTGGAACATGTCTCATATGGGGCCTTCAGGATGAGCATTTCGGAGTCCAGGACATAAGTACAGTTCATCATTTCCACACCAAAGGGATCTACAGAAACCAGAGCAGGATAGAGAAGCAGGAAAGAGATAGGAGGGCTGAGGGGACAGTTCAGTGAGTCTGCCAGAGGCACACTTAAGACTGCCAACCCACTTCTAAGGTACTTCAGTCACTTTACTTTTGACCAAACAGGTGCTGTAACTCAAGCTTGGAGATGCTATGAATTGCAGCCAAGAATTTCCCAGGAGATTCTAGTAGAAGACACTTCTTAGGAAACATAGGTTTTTCTGCTCTCAGTGGCATCAGGGAGTTGAATGCAAGTTGCTCCAGAGTTTGAGTTTTCTGGGCAGCAAACAAATAGGACTGGCCCCGAACCAAAGCTTTTTGACTAATAGGAACCAAGTTAGAGATAGTATATGTTACCTACCCACCACAGATGCTCGCCATTTCTTGATGTCAAGGCTTCTTGAAAACTGAACTGTTAGTCCATTTTCATTGCAAGTAACAATACCTGGAGAGCAAAGGAAACACTTGGGATCGTTTTGAGCTACAAGAGGCATAATTCCTATAGAATACATGTGTAGAGAGGCTCTTCCTCCCCAATAGTCAAAGGAGGACACCAGTGGAGAGAGGCAATGATTATTCCCTATCCTCAAGAATTCATAAATTGTAAAGACAAACTACAATTCAATATACCAAGAACTATAAGGAAGGTATCAAACACCCAAGGTTTTCTGAAACTCCAAGAATCAGTCTGATTCAGGGGAAACAAAACAAAACAAAACAAAACAAAACAAAACAAAAAACCCTGTAGAAGCCAAATCAAAACCTTGGCAATGGAGGTGACTGGGGTGGCAATATTGTCTGAAGAACTGAAAACTAAAAGCTTTGTCTACAGCTTCTTCAAATTGAAGTTAAGAAAAACACCCTAGGCGCTGGGGATTTAGTTCAGTGGCATAAGCAACCTGCCTTGCAAGCAGGCGGTCCTGGGTTTGATCCCCAGGTGCCGATTAAAAAAAAAAAAGAATACCCTAGGTTAAGCCCCAGGGCATATTTTTCCCTTTGGCACAAATTCTGCCAAAGACCTGTCTTTTTGCAACCTTTGGTTCAGATGAAAGTCTTTTTTTTAAAAAGCCCTTGTAGTTTTAAGTGGAAGAGCTCCAGTTTTGCCTGTTACGGTGATGCTTTCTTGAAACACAGTTTGAAGCTGAAGACTTACTGGTCCTAGAGGTGGGGGCTTAGTGTTATGGCTTGCTGTTCTGCAGATGCCCTACAGCCTGAGGCAGTGGAGGGGAGGAGGGCTGGAAAGTAGTGCAGCATTCTTTCAAACTTTTTCCTTTAGCTGACATAGCAGACTCATAGCCAGGCAGAGAAAAGATTTAGTAACTTGACCAAAGAGGGGACGGGGGTGCATTGTCTGTATGGTGCTTGGTCAGCCAGACACTCTACCTGCCAACAGGATTTCCCTCACTCGAGAGGCATACCTGGGGAGGGAGGGTTCAACTGAGGAAGATCAACTGAATTCACTGAAGTCACAAGAGTGAAGAAGAGATAAAATGACCTGTAGATGCAAGAAAACAGGAGAGGGAGTTAAGAATGCATTTAAGCAAAGAAGGCCATTAAGTCCCCTTCCCAGCTCCAGTGCTCCTCACCTCCAGGCTGCCGTAGAGCAGCTTGGGAAACTCACAGAACCTCCTCTCTGCCTGGACGCCATTGCAAAAGGCACCAGGCAGACAGTGGGCTGCTCTGTGCTCTTATGGCAAGAAGCAGGATGAAACCCCACCCTCTTGCAACTGAGGGCACCTGAGTCTTCACCCACGCTCCCCGCTCAGCTGAGAGGGAGGGGTTTTGGAAGGAAGTGGCATTTGGCCTTCCTGACACTTGCCTTGAATATTCTGCTAACTGCTTCTGCAGGTCAGGCATGAAATCAGTTTCCTGAAACTGAGTCCAGGTGAGTGAATTAGTGTTTGTCCTCCCCCATAAAAACAGGTAAATTCATCATCTTTTGGACAAAATATTAACAACTCCAATGTAGAGCGAAAGGGGATCATAGGCCTTATTGAGGAAGAGCTATTATTCATTTAAACCATTAAATCTTTCTTTAACCTCTAATCTTCTTGCCAGTTGAAGAAGTCACTCTTGAAATATGTACTTTAAAAATGTTTTAATGAAGTATTATTTACTTCCAAGTATAAAGATTTAAATATACTGCAAAAAATGCAGACAATTAAAAAGAAGGATTAGAGAAAGATAAATATCATCCATAATTTTGTTACCACTGTTTAGATAAGTAGTTTTATAGACTTTTTACAGACACCAGAAGAGTTAAGAAGCACCATAGTGGGGACAGATGGATGAGACTACAAAACAATTACCTGGGTACTGTAAACTATTTTTTGTTTTGTTTTTGAGACAGGGTCTCACTTTTTAGTCCATGCTGGCCTCAAACTCACGGCACTCCTTATGCCTCAGCCCCCCAAGTGTTGGGATTACAGGCCTGTACCACCATACCTGGCTGGGCACTGTAAACTGTTACCCTTTGTAACATGGGGTGTTTCAACAGATGTTTTATGAGATTCTCATGAAACTATAGGAGCAAAATGTTTGCATGAAATGAGAAGTTGTTACCAAGGGGGGAAAAAACCTAAATAAGCCTTCTAGCCTCACTTTCTCTTAGTTAACTTAAAATCATTAATTTTGGAAGCCACACGGTTGGACATTATTAGTTTCTAATGAGCTTTGCTAAGATAATGCTTTATGATAACAGATTAGTTCCCAGGGACCAGAAGGCCACTTTTGCTTAGGACACTGTCCCTTTACATGGACCTACAGATGTTTGATAGTGTCTAAAATGGATAAAATGCATGACATCTCTCTCTTCAAATTGTGTCTGTCTCCTTTGTTGTCTTAACATTTAAGTTAGATTCTAATCATCTCTGAACATAGACATGTTCATCATTTAAGAAATGCTCTATCCAAGGCTATGACACAGCCTTAGCCTGGCCTCCTGCTAGGTGGAGCTGGTTTGTGCTTCTTCTACCCTTTCTGAGCTTTTCAGCTGCTCAAGCACTAAAATCCTTCAGCCCCAATGTAAGTCCCGTATGTGTCTACAAGACGGTGACACCAATTATGAGTAGCTCAGCAGTTCCTGGGTAAACATAACTGCCCATCGCCCCAAGTACAAGGCTAGAATCTTTTGCATAGGATGATGATGCCAGATGCACCAAGTTTCAACTGCTTTTAGGACAAGTTTACCATGATCAGCAATGTAGTCCAAAAAGAGACATCTGTCAAAATCTAACCCCTGGTCAGTGAAAATGACCAGACTTTAGCCCACTCCAGAAAATCAATAAAAAATTCACTGCTTTGCTGGTATTGGTCATCTCTCTTGATCAGCTGACAAGTTCCTTCAGCCAAACCTCCAAATTCAGGTGACATTCCTTCTTTACCCAATCTGTTATAAAGCTCTGCTTGGACAGGAGTGTGTATACTTGCAATATTTAACCCAGTCTCATTTTTATAGTCTTTTCTGTCAAAAGATCTTGTTCAGTATCATTACCATATGCTATTTAAAAAGTCTAAATACTGTTTTGTAACTTGCTATTATCACTTTCAACATTTTATGACATTTCTGTATCACATATAAAGATCTCCATCATGATTTTTTAAGGTTGCACAGTATTCAGTGTTTAGCTAAGTCAGTTCTTATTCCATTGTTCCTTATCAAAGTGCATTAAGATGAGTTTCAGTTTTTCATCATTATAAACAATAAATGAACATTTTCCTGGCTAACCCTTAGCATGAATTCCTGGAAATACAATTCCTGAGTAAAAGACAGTAAGTAAGAATGCCACATTATGTAGCACTTTGGAGTTTATATACAGAGAAACAAGCAAGTAACATGCCCAGGCTCTGATAATTGAGTATCAGGGCCAAATTGAGAACTCAGATTTCCTGGAACCTGATCTACATGTCTTTTTATCGTCTCTTACTGTTTTATGAGATATATAAATGCCTGCAATTAACCATAACAGGTAAATTACCTGTTTTATGAGATATATAAATGCCTGCAATTAACCATAACAGGTAAATTACCAATTACCATAACAGGTAAATTATGTCCTGTCTTTGTTACTTTTCTCTCATTGTTGAGACAAAATACTCAATACCCAAAATTAAGGAAGGGAAGGTTTATTTAGGTCACAGTTTCTAGAAGTTTCAGTCTATAATCAGCTGGCTCCAAAACAGGGTGGCATGGCACAGGGACAATACTTTGAGATGGCAGAAACAGCAAAAGCAACAAGAGGAAAAAGGGAGAGAGCAGGCTTCTTCTCCCTTATATTACAAACAGGCTATCCTACCTAGGGCTGGTGCAGTGCTCATAGCATCTCCCTTACCCTTTTCTTGCACAGGATGAGGATGTTTACAAAGTGAAGAGCCTGGCCCTCTGCTAAGTCACTTTGTTAAACTTCTAAACTTCTCAAGTTGACACAATGTTTCAACCATTACATACTCCTAAACTCTACGCAGATAGCAGTGTAGTATTTGCAATTATGATTCATGATCACCATGGTGAAATGAGGAATAATCTGTATTCTATTATAGCCATCAAAAATACTATTGTAGGTTAGATTAGTATTTCCTCAGTTTCCTGATCAAAAGGATCACTTGAGACTTTCCTGAATGTCATGAATTTCTGGGCTGCACCCAAAAGCTGCTGATTTAGACTCTCCAGGAAATGGACCTGGAAATATAGGCTTAACAAGCACTGCAGGTGATTTTAATAATCAGAAAAATCTGGAAAATACCGGAGGGAGGTAGACAAGGATAAGAGTAGTCACCAGTGGCAACTTTATTACTGTAGTAAATTGATTAGATTACATTCCAGTGGAACTGGAGAGAGGAGGCAAATTACAAATAAACAGATTTAAGTGGATGTCAAGATGGTAAAAAGATTTTGTTTCAGAGCAGAAGCATGATGACAACAGTTACTCCTTCTAGGCAAGTTTTCCCACCACATATGTAAAGGTGATTTATTACTACAATGGTTGAGATGTGATAAGAGTACATTAGAGGGAAGAGTGTGGATGTGAGACTCAGAGACCTGCTGAGAAGGTGGTCAGAGAGGTGATGGGTTCAAGTGTCTTTTGGGCTTCCCCTAGACCTCGCTGCCTCTAAAGATGCTACCTTTTTCTCCAGAATAAGAAGTTTTACCTTGGAAAGCACAGTTTTGATCAGATCCTCACACTGGGAACTCCTGGAGGCTAAAGGGCAGCATAGGAGGTGGAGAGAAGAAAATCCATTGTAGGACTGGTGGAGATGAGTGCACCAGACATGAACTTTATCTGCCTCTCCTGACCTAGACCAGTGTGTGTGTGTGTGTGTGTGTGTGTGTGTGTGTGACAGCCACCACCAACTGGCCCCAAGAAAACAGAAATCAGTTTGTGGGATTCTACTCTAGCAAAGTCCTCCATCCTGGCTTGGGAATGCAAATATGATCAGTGCAGCCAGCTTTGAAAATGAAGTAGAAGCTATAAATATTTGTTGCTGTTATTTGTTTATTTTTTGGAATTTAACTTAGGACCTCATGTTTGCCAGGCAGGTATTGTGCCACTGAGCTATATGTCCAGCTGAAAATGGAGTAGAAATGGTTGTTCCATGATAGCATGATGTCTTATTATCAGTAGACAGAAAAAAACCAAAGTCTCTAACATTGGTTGATTCTTAATACTCCACTAAATAAGCAGTGTGTGTTTTTCATATTTTCATACTCTTTCAGTATATGTTTTTCATATTCTTTTTCAAAGCGCCATTTAAAGTTAGCTAATTTGTGACTACAAAGTCTTCCCTCTCCTTTTCTCTGAATGCCTGAGGATAATGGGGTCACTTTTGTCCTGGATAGTCACAGAGCGTTTCCCGAGGGGGTTTTATGTTACTCTTAGGCATATAAAAAAGTTTCTGGCTCTGTTGTTGTGGCATTTGGGCTCTCCTTTCTGCAGTGCGGTTCTTATCATCAACAATTCATTACTCTTAAGTACCCAGTATGTTCTGTCTTGTTTTCCACAATTGTAAAAAACATTAATTGAAGATAATCTAAAGGAAATAATTAGACAAACTGTGTAACATGCTTCAGCCACTAAAAGTGATCCTATGGATTCATGAGGTATGAAAGCTGATATGAAAGATGTCCTCCATAACATTAGGGTTTCAGAGAAGTATAATTATTATGTTTTGCTCTTAAAAAAGAGAAAAATGTACTTGTGTGTCTCTTTGTTTATTTGGGTATATAAATATATTTGCATTTAAAGACGTAATGTCACCCAGTGGAGGAGACAGAGCAAGTGATTGTGCTCAAGAGGCTGTGCTGGGGATTTACAAACATTGTTGGCCCTGATTTGTTTGTGTTCTTGATTCCTGGTTTCAGATATGTTTAGTATTATTCCTGATAGTAGGAACCGGCAAGTAGGAGAATAGATGACTCCTGGATTGTTTTTTTTATTTATTTACATATTGCCTTATTTACTTCTATTTTGATGGTTTTGGTGATAACAGATTAGAATAATTTTAAAGCAATAAAAAATGTTATGACTTGTATCTAAATTTCTTCCCAAAGCCTCATGAGGTCATAGGTGAGTAGTTTTGAAGGTGACTGAATCAGGGTATGTGAATGTGGATTAAGGGTATGATACTGAGATTAAAGGTATGGAAAATGCAAGGCCCACCAATAATTAAGCTTATGGCCTGGATGGAATATAAAGGGACGGAAAGAAGGCAGATTTAGGACTTCCTGCTTTCTGCCTTCCTTGCCTTTCATGGGTGGTTTCTCCTCTGGATGCCGCTCTGCAGTGCCGCCCCGCCTTGGAGCCAACTGACTATAGACCGAAACCTGAATGAACCATGACCTGAAATAACCCTGACCTCTTTTACCTTGTGGGTGTCAAAAATAAGAAA